GTTAAAAATCGGGCTGCAGCATTTTGGACCAGTTGTAGACGAGCAATGGAGGACTGACTGATTCCAAACAGAAGTGAATTGCAATAATCAAGCCTAGATGTTATGAAGGCGTGGATCACTGTCTCAAGGTTCTTCTTGGAGAGTATAGGTTTCAGCTTAGACAGCCGTCTCAGCTGAAAAAAACAGGATTTGACCATCATGTTTACGTGACTGTTGAGTTTTAAGGACGGGTCCATTATCACCCCCAGATTAGTGACCTTTTGTTTCTCTAGCGGGGCTAGAGAGAAAAGGTCAATGTCATGGTTCATGAGTGAGCCACTGGGATGGAACAGCATGACTTCAGACTTCTTCTCATTGAAGCTTAAGAAGTTTAAAGCCATCCAGTCCCGGATGTCAGCCAGGCACTCAAGAAGAGGCTGAATAGAGACTGAGCGTGGCTGCCCCAAATCAGGCTGCCTGCTTCGGATTGAACAAGAAGAAGACGTCGCTGAAACCACGGCGCTCAAATGTTTACAGAGAAGTTGCTAAACTTCATCATAATTAATGACCAACCACTATCAGTTGTAGAAAATGAATGATTTAACAGCTTGATACTTGCAGCCAAGATATAGTTTACCCTCCAGGAGATATTTATCAGTACAACAGTAGACAATCATAAAAAACATTATTTGAAAACTATATTAAAAACAAAAACAGCTACATTATAAAGTGATGTAAAATACTAAAAACAGGAACATGTCTGTTGGTTTATGCCATGAACTTAGCAGATGTTTGAAGCCATTTAACATTTTATTTAACTTAATTAATTTATTCATTCATTTAAATTAAACAAAATAAAAAAAAAATCATCAAAAAGAAAACATTGAATGAAAAGAATGTTGAATGTGCAGAAAGAAGAAAAAAATATTATATCTGCCCCTATAAAATATAAAACAACTTTAAACAATCACTTAAATTAATCACTTTAATATCCACTTTAAAGCTAGGAATAAAAAGAAACATGTTTTGTGTTAGCAGGATTTAATTCTATCTTTGAAACTTATCCAACATTAATAAAACTTACCTCAAGTTGCCTTTTTGGACATGCGTGCATATATTTGTACAAATTGTACTTGAGAGGAGATTATTACAACCTCATATAAAATCTATGATGATCATGATATCGGAACTGGATCGTATCGGCCGATACTCAGACTTAAGTATCGGGATCGGATCTGAAGTAAAAAAGTGGATCGTGCATCCCTAACTTATAGAGCACCTTTCTATCTTATTGAGATACTCAAAGTGCTTTACAACAATCTGTGCCTCATTTACCCGTTCATACAGCTCTATACTAGATCTCTACAAAGCTAATTGTACAAAACATTCTAAAGAGACTAATCAGAGCTTTATCACATTCATACACTGATGGGACACGCATCAGAGGTAACTAGGGGTTCAGCGTCTTGCCCAGGGACACTTCGGCATGTGACTGCTGGTGGATTTGAACCCCCAACTCTCGCATTGGAGGACGACTGCTCTAACCACTCAGCTACAGCCGCCCCAACTGTAGCTAAAAGCAAAAATTAACAAAGTTGTAGCTAAAGCTAAATATGTATTAAAGTTGTAGATTGAAGTTAATTTAACAAACCAATATCTAAAAACAAAATTAACAAAATAGTTTTTAAAGCTAAATGTAGCAAAACAGCTAATAAAACTTATATGTAACAAAACAATAACTGAAAGCTAAAATGAACAAAATAACATTTAAAGTTACATCCAAAAAAGTTCAATCTGGTCCTCTGGACATTCAAAAAAACAAAAAACAAA